GTGCAGGAGGCAGCTGATTGATGATTCTCTCTCATCATTGATGTTTCTATCTCTCTCTCCCTCTCCCTTCCTCTCTCTGAATAAAAGTAAAACACATGCCCCATCAAATGCATCTGTGACCTGCAGGTAGAGAGTTCGAGACCCTGAAGACTACTGTATTAGCATGTCTTGTTTTAGAAAAAGAAAAGAAACAGCACCTGCAGAGCCTCATCCACACCTGGGCCTGATTTATAGAAACAGACTCTAGACATTAAGGAGATGAGATGCACTGAGATGAGATGTTTGGAGATCTTGGGAGGGGATGAACGTTTATGGCATGAGGAAGGGACGTATATCATGGAGGGTGAGACGGGGCAGTTGACATGGCTCCAGTGTCCCCTATTCCTTGGTATTAATGCCACTAACCACTCCGTCTGTGGGCTGGACTTACTGACGTACTCCTACCAAATAGAATATGACAGAAGTGATGGGATGCCACTTCCAAGATGAGATGATAAAAGACTGTGACTGTCTTGTTCACACTCTCTGGCTCTTCTTGGCTCCGTCACTCTGATCATGTCTTGTTTTAGAAAAAGAAAAGAAACAGCACCTGCAGAGCCTCATCCACACCTGGGCCTGATTTATAGAAACAGACTCTAGACATTAAGGAGATGAGATGCACTGAGATGAGATGTTTGGAGATCTTGGGAGGGGATGAATGTATATGGCATGAGGAAGGGACGTATATCATGGAGGGTGAGACGGGGCAGTTGACATGGCTCCAGTATGCCCTATTCCTTGGTATTAATTCCACTGACCGCTCCATCTGTGGGCTGGACTTACTGACGTACTCCTACCAAATAGAATATGACAGAAGTGATGGGATGCCACTTCCAAGATGAGATGATAAAAGACTGTGACTGTCTTGTTCATACTCTCTGGCTCTTCTTGGCTCCGTCACTCTGATGAAAGCAGCTTCCGTGTGATGAGCTGCCTTCTGGAGAGGCCCGAAGGGCAGGAAACGGAGGGTGGCCAACAGCGCATGAGGAACTGAGGTTCTCAGTTCAACCTCCTACCATGTGAGGGGCTTTGGAAAGGGGTCCTTCTTTAGTTGAGCCTTGAGATGAGACTGAAGCCCCAGCCAACAGCTTAATCACAGCCTGTGAGAGACCCTGAGACCGAGGACCCATTGAAGCTGCACCTGTACTCCTGGCCCACAGAAACTGGGAGAATATTGTGGTCTTAAGCCACTAAGTGTTGGGCGATTTGTTATGCAGTCTAGTAGATTGAACTCGGTGAGGTGTTCAGAGGAAGTATTAACTCACCTTCTGTCACAGATGGAGAAACTGGGGCCCAGGAAAGAAAAAGGACCTCACCCAGTGGTGGTGAAAACAAGCCCACATCTTCTATGTCCTTCAAGGGAGTTTTCTGCGCTTGTCCTCACTCCCCATCCCCAGCCACCCAGCCGAGTGCCCACAGCAGCATCCCATCTGCCCCAATGGCATCCCCAGTCCACAGCTGTGTGGACTCACTGCAGGTTCTGACCTGAAGAGAAGGTCCCAAGAGATGTTGGTGAAGAAGGGAGGGAGAGAAGGTCCAGTTGCAGGCTGGGCAGTCTTCACTCACAAGCAACTCTGAATGGGAGAAGGGAGATGAAATCTGGGTCATGACAGACCCCCAGCCCACCTGGCAGGTGCCTGTCTGACCTTTCCACTCTCTGTTATAACGTCAGAAAACACGTGAACCGCTCTGGTGTGTGCTGAAGCCCAGGAGTGAAGATCTGCACTGCGCAGCTGCTGAAGACCAATCGGTGGTTGCTAGGGAGTGGCCCTTCCCTGCTGTTCATTGGAGTCTCCATGGCGACCACTATACACAGGGCTCTGTTACCTCAGAAGGCAGATAGGCCAACCCCAGGGGACAGAGGCCATGGAAAGCCAGTACTGAGGGACGAAATATCCCCTGAGCACCCACCATGTGCCAGGTTGGGTACCATGGAGTGGGAAGGAAGTTTGGGGATCACACAGGATTAAGCAGAGAGTGATTAGTTCTATCTAGGGCCGTGAGGGGTCATCCTCAGCGAGCGTACCTCAATCAGATTGAGGACATTTTTAGCAAAGGCCAGCTTAGGAGTACCCTAATTAAGTTAATAACAATGTACCTACCTATATAGTTTAAGTTTAAAAAATTTTGCTCTCAAAAGAAATTTCAGTTGTTGTACTGTTGATATTTGGCTCTGTTGACGAATGAGTTTGCCGACCACTGATCTAGGGAAAGAAGGCTGGGCTGACAGAAGGGCCGTGTGAGCTGGATTTTGAAAGATGCAAAGGGGTTCAACAGTTTAGAAGGGACTCAAATATTAAAGGCATGGAGAGAGGGAAGAGGGGAGGGGAGGGGAGGGAAAGATGCACTAAACTGCGCGCAGCTGCTGAAGACCAATGGGTGGTTGCTAGGGAGTGGCCCTTCCCTGCTGTTCATTGGAGTCTCCATGGCGACCACTATACACAGGGCTCTGTTACCTCAGAGGGCAGATAGGCCAACCCTAGAGGACAGAGGCCATGGAAAGCCAGTACTGAGGGATGAAATATCCCCTGAGCACCCACTATGTGCCAGGTTGGGTACCATGGAGTGGGAAGGAAGTTTGGGGATCACACAGGATTAAGCAGAGAGTGATTAGTTCTATCCAGGGAAAGAAGGCTGGGCTCACAGAAGGGCCGTGTGAGCTGGATTTTGAAAGATGCAGAGGAGTTCAACAGTTTAGAAGGGACTCAAATATGAAAGGCATGGATGCGTTTATGGGCATAAATGTAGGTCCAGGGGAGAGGGGAGGGGAGGGAAAGATGCACTAAACTGTCTGAGCTGGACGTGAAGGGATCAGGAACCAAGGAGTAAAATTAGGGCAGGGCTGGGACAGTGAGAGTCTACTCTCCTCCTCTTGAAACATAAGGGCTTCAGAAGATTACATGAGGCTGTGACTTGCGCAGTTGGTGCCAGAGGCTCCGTCCTGTCTCGCTGCTACTCAGCAGGGGTGGGGGTATAAGGGACACCTCCCGTGTGCCCAGCCTTTCAGGGTCTCCCCAGGAGGCAGAGAGCACTCAAGTTAAACTTGGGGTCCCAGAGTCTGGGCTTGCCACTTTTTAGAAAGAGTGGCTTTGTCCATGTTCTTTTAAAAAATATATAAATATTGATTTCAGAGAGGAAGGGAGAGGAAGAGATAGATAGAAACATCAATGATGAGAGAGAATCATTGGTTGGCTGCCTCCTGCACGCCCCACACTGGGGATCACAGGTTGACACTCAACCACTGAGCCACGCCAGCCTGGCTGTCCATGTTCTTTAGATGGACTTTCCTCACATGTGAAACATATAAACCACCTCCAAGGGTAAGAGTGAGGACTGGACGTTCTGTGAAATGCCTAGAACATTGCCTGGCAGAGAGGGATGTCACCTATAACCCTAAGCTGACCCCGTAAGCGACCCATCAGCAAGTCCTTCAGAGTACACCAGACTCAGACCCCTTTATCCACCTCCTCAGCTGCCCCGACCCTGGTCCAAACCACCACCACCTCTTGCCTGGGTTAGCGCACTTGCCTCCTCACGGGATTCCTGTTTTTGCTCTTGTCCCTGAATTAACTGCCTATAGGTGCGTAAACGTACAGGCAAACCTCAGAGATATTGTGGGGCTGGTTACAGATCACCATAATAAAGCGAATATCATGATAAAGCAAGTCACATTTTTTGGCTTCCCAGTGCATATAAAAGTTATGTTTACGCTACAGTCTATTACGTGTGCAATAGCGTTATGTCTAAAAAACACCTCTTAACTTAAAATACATTATTGCTAAAAATTGCTAACCATCACCTGAGCCTTTAGCAAGTCATTATCCTTTTGCTGGTGGAGGGTCTTGCCTGGATGTGGGTGGCTGCTGACTGGGCAGGGGGGTGGCTACTGCAGGCTGGGGTGGCGGTGGCAAGTTCTCAATAGAAAACAATGGAGTCTGCCACATGGATTGACTCTTCCTCTCATGGACAATTTCTCTGTAGCATGTGATGCTGTGGGGTAGCATTTTGCCCGCAGTAGAACTTCTTTCCAAGCTGGACAGCGGGCAGCAGGGAACCCTCAGGCGGTGGGGCCTGGAGTCACCTTATATCCCCAAAGGAGGGTTTACAGAGCCTGTTGCTAGGAAACTGGAGATGCAGCCACCTGGGTCGTCTGCTCAGTGGCTTTCTTCCACCACAGCTCCTGGTTCACCTGCCCGCTCTCCCGTCCCAGGGACGGAGGGTCTTATTCTGAGCTGGAAGGTCACCCAAGGTGGAGGCCACCTTCCCGTGGCCTGTTCTGAGCATCACCTCTTCTGGGGCCCCAGGGCCTGTGTTGTGTGACTCCTCTTTCAACAGTCATTCGGAAGGCTAGCTGCCCCCTGCCCCCCACACACACACCCAGAGGGCTGGGCCAGGAGCAGGGGCTGGTGCCTGGCCAGCTGTGGCTTCACTTCTCTCTGGCTTCCTGGAGCCCCTTCCAGGTAGGGCCCAGCATGACCCACCTGACGTGGGACAACAGGCGGCCTCCTTTGCCAAAACTAAGTAATACAGTGGCTCCCCTAGCTGGCAGGTGGTCTTTCCTCGGTGGTTCTAAGGCATCGGCCGGAGATGGAAATATGGGGCATGCGGGGCAAGGCTGGAAGCCAGGCAGAGGCAGGCAGACACGGCACGCAGAAAAAGCCAT